CTGCTGTCTGTCCCCAAGTCGCCCACCCCACACAAGACCAATATGGGCAGTAGTTATAATCTCTATTTGGGCATCTTGGACTTACATATTTATTTTTACTACTGGGACAAATATATTTATCGTTAGACCCATACGTCCTCTCCCATCTAAGATCCTCACATACATTCCACGGCTTTCTACCACTTGATATTGCTTTACACGCATCAAATAGCAGAGCACCTGAAGAATATACGGATTTTAATACCGTCTTATTAATTAGGGTCCCCTGAGAATCTCCATTTCAGAGAGTCAACCAAATTGTACGGGGTTGATACTCAGGACTGAAGCACTTAGGTTCTCCTACTCCTAAATGACACACACTATATTCTATATTTAAGTATCTACATCTTGATACATCTCCTTTACACTCATATTGCGAATGCTAAATTAGGGTCTGGGATATATGGTTACCTGTTCTTGTAGTCTTAATGCATACCTCACAGCTAGGAGTGTTGGTACCTCTACCTTCCTGAATATAAAAATATACATAAATAAACATTATTAAAAATACATCTTTCGTCGTCATCCTCAGTCTTCGTCCGTGCGAAGGCACCTCAGCTTCCAGGATGTAAGGGCTGCAGGGAATGGAGTTCTGCTCGTCTTCACAGGGGTCCCTCAAGACTTTCCCTGACTTATACACTCGTTGGTGAGTGGACAGGCTTTATTATGGCCTTCTCACTCACTTACCAAGTCTCTGAAACAATAAAATTTGTAATCTACAAGGTTCCTCGTCACTCCGACTGAGTCGTGCGTTTTAACTGGATCTTGCAGGGATTCTCTGGATTTGCTGTAACTTGCCAGGAATCGGCTGCTGCTGGTTTAACCCTGGAGTGATGTATCCACGGAGCCACTTCGGCTACTTGTATCGCTGTAGGGGTAGACAGAAGAACAACATAAGGACCTCTCCACTTGGGCCCTAACGGCACATTATTCCACTCTTTAATCCACACTTGGTCGCCTGGGTGGTAACTATGAATTGGGGGATAAATATTCACAGGTAATCTATCTTGTACCCATTTCTGTACCTCCTCCATAGTCCTACCCAACTCTACAACCTGCTGCCGGGTAATTCCTTCTCCCAACTGACTCAAATCCCCCCTTAAGTTACCAAGCACGGGAGGTGGTCGCCCGTACATGATTTCAAAAGGAGAGAGGCCCATCCTTCTGGTAGGTGTACTACGGATTCGCAATAGAGCTATGGGCAAGAGAACGTACCACTTAAGTTGGGTTTCCTGACACATTTTAGCCAACTGATTCTTAATAGTTCTATTCATTCTCTCTACCTTACCAGAACTCTGGGGTCTATATGCCGTATGAAGCTTCCACTTTATACCAAGCATATGAGTCAATTGTTGTAGGCACTGATGAACAAAAGCTGGACCATTGTCCGATCCTATAGAGCAGGGTAGTCCATATCGGGGTATTATTTCTCGTAGCAGGAATCTCACGACTTCTCCTGCTTTCTCTGTATGAGTAGGACATGCTTCTACCCAGCCTGAATAGGTGCACACCACTACCAGCAGGTAGCGATGTCCACCCGATTTAGGCATCACTGTATAGTCAATTTGTAAATCGGACATGGGAAGTCCCCCATAAACTGGACTCCTGGTGGCTTTACTGGTCCTTGTCTTGCATTATTTTTAGCACACGTTACACATCTACGTACAATGGCCTGAGTCAAGTTGGACAATCTTGGTATGTAGAAATGTTTTCTGAGAGATTCTTCTGTACTGTCTCTCCCAGAATGTGTCCCGCTATGATAGTTTTGGACAATTTCTACCGCTAGTGATGCTGGAATAACTATTCTTCCATCTTCTAACTGATACCATTTGTTCTCCAAATACTTTCCAGGTTCAGTCCTTAACCACTCCTCTTCTTGAGCTGTATAAATTGGAGTCCATTGAGACAGTGGAGTTGGTATAAGAGCAGCTATATGCCCTACATATTCCTGTCTTCCTGATTCAGCAGCACGCTTAGCTGCACTATCTGCCATCCGATTCCCTTTGGTTACATCACCATCTCCTCTCAGATGCGCCCGACAATGTATAATACCGACTTCTTTCGGCTCCTACACTGCTTCCAATAGTTGTAGGATCTCAGCTGCGTATTTGATTTCTTTGCCTTCTGAATTCAATAGTCCTCTTTCTTTATACAAAGCTCCGTGGGCATGAGTGGTTAAAAACGCATACTTGGAGTCCGTGTAGATGTTCACTCTTAAACCTTCAGCCAATTGTAACGCTCGTGTCAGTGCTATCAATTCTGCCTTTTGTGCTGATGTTCCTTTTTGCCAGTGGCCGAGCTTCTATCACCTTGTCTATCGTTGTTACTGCATATCCTGCATAGCGGATCCCTTCTTTTACATAACTACTGCCGTCGGTGTAATATTGAACATCAGGGTTCTGGATGGGAAAATCACGAAGATCTGGTCTACTTGAAAATACTTCTTCCATTACTTCCAAACAATCATGTTGACTTTCAGTAGGTTGTGGCAAAAGGGTAGCTGGATTTAAGGTATTTACAGTCTCTAAATGCACTCTTGGGTTTTCACACAACATTGCTTGATACTTGGTCATACGGCTGTTACTAAACCAATGATTTCCTTTGTAATCCAACAACGTCTGTACTGCATGTGGAACTCGTACATAAAGTTCTTGACCTAGAGTGAGTTTATCGGCTTCAGCTACTAGCAGGGCGGCTGCAGCTACAGCTCTTAGACAAGGTGGAAGTCCGCTGGCCACTGCATCCAGTTGCTTAGACTTGTAGGCAACAGGTCTTTGCCATGATCCCAAGTACTGTGTCAATACTCCCACAGCCATTCTTCTTTGCTCATGTACATACAGGTAGAATGGCCGTGTGTGGTCAGGTAGACCTAATGCTGGGGCACTCATCAAAGCCCTCTTCACATCTTCGAATGCCGCTTGCTGTTCTTGAGTCCATAAGAAGGGGTCGTGCTCTGTACCTTTGATAGCTGCATACAGAGGTTTTGCCAGTATCGCGTAGCTGGGAATCCATATCCTACAGAGGCCTGCTGCCCCCAAGAATTCTCGCACTTGTCTTCTATTCCTGGGTATCGGTATTTGGCACACAGCTTCTTTTCTCTCTGGCCCCATAATTCTTTGACCTTCAGAGATATGGAATCCCAGATATTTGCCAGTTGGCAAACACAACTGAGCCTTCCTTCTTGACACCTTGTATCCTGCCTTCCAGAGAATGTGTAGTAGATCGTGCGTTGCTTGCTGACATACTTCCTTTGTAACTGCTGCTATCAAAAAGTCATCTACATATTGTAATAATACACACTCTCCTGGGATAGACTCGAAATCTAGTAGATCTTGACTTAGAGCTGAACCAAATAGGGTAGGTGAATTTTAAACCCCTGGGGCAATCTTGTCCAGGTCATTTGGCGTTTCGAGCCCGTTACAGCATTTTCCCATTGGAAAGCGAAGATACATTGGCTTTCTGCGGCAATTCGGAGGCAAAAGAAGGCATTTTTGAGATCTAAGACTGTAAAGTAAGTAGCCCCGCCCGGAATTAAAGCAAGCAGGTTATATGGATTGGGCACGACTGGATGTATACTAACAACCGCATCATTGACTGCTCTCAAGTCCTGTACAGGTCGATACTCATCTGTACCGGGCTTTTGAACAGGCAGCAATGGGGTGTTCCAGGGGGAAGTACAGAATTTTAGGATACCATACCGTATGAACTTATCCAGATAAGATTTGATGTTCTTCTTAGCCTTCTGCGGAATATGATATTGTCTCAGGCTTACTGGATAAACCCCAAGTTTTAGTTCGATTTTAATAGGTGGAATATTGCGGGCCAGTCCTGGTGGGTTGTTCTCTGCCCAAACTCCTGGTATGTTAAATAAGGATTCATCACTCCTCGGGTTTTGGCTAGTCAACACCGTATAAAGTCGCCACTCTTCTTCCTTTGGTACGGACAATGTCATAATACCTGAGGGTCCATTAAACTTTAAGGATGTTGTTCCATTTGGTAGGAACGTAATCTGCGCTTGTAATTTGGACAGCATATCACGTCCCAGCAATTGGACTGGACACTCAGGCATATAAAGGAATTGATGTTTTACTACGTGGCCTCCCAATGTACAGAGTCGACTTTTAAGAACCGTTTTTTCAGCACTTCTTCCAGTTGCTCCTATTACAGTAATAGTTCTTCCAGATGGAGGAGCAACTAGATTAATCACCACCGAATGTTCAGCACCAGTGTCGATCATGAACGCACTCCTTTTTCCCCCTATTGATACATCGACCATAGGCTCCGCTCGACCAAGGGGGATGGAGCCCGGCCGGTATCAATAGTCCTCCATGACCGTGTCAGCCAATCCCACAAAGTCCCTACCTTCTCTATCGCGGGACCTTTGCGCTGCTGGATAGTACCTATCTTCCCTTACACCTCCTCTGTTCCCATTACTCCCTCTATTACCATTACTCCCTCCGGGGCCTCCTCTACCTCTCGCTCTGCCTCTAAAGTTTCCGTAACCTGCCCTGGGTAAGTCTCTCTCATACTGCTCTCTTTGCGGACACTCGTTCCTCCAATGCCCTTCTTCCTACAGTACGCGCACTGATTCCTACTCAAAGGCTCCCTATTCCATCTACCATCGCCTCTATCTGGGCCCCGTCTATCTACGCCTGCGATCGCTACCGCTAGCATATCTGCCTTTCTACGCATCTTGCGCTCTTCCTCTTTCTTACTTTCTGTTTTCCTATTCATATATACTTTGTTCGCTACCTCCATTAGTTGGGTGATAGACATACCTGCAAACCCTTCTAATTTCTGTAGCTTGCGCTTAATATCTCCGTAAGCTTGGCTGACAAAGGCGGAGTTTACCATTCGGGAATTATCAGCTTCTTCCGGATTAAAGGGGGTATACAAGCGGTATGCCTCCAATAATCGGTCATAAAAGACACTGGGCGCTTCATCACTTTTCTGAATCACCTCAACTGTCTTCGACATGTTAATAGCTTTCTTCCCTCCGGCTTTCATGCCAGCAATTATAGCATCTCTATAGGTTTTAAGTTGAGCCATATCTGCGCCATTTACATTCCAGTCAGGATCGGTGTTAGGGTAATGTGTTGCGGCCCATGCTGCCGGATTGGCTTGATTTAAAGCACGGGCTCTCTCCTCCAGCGCCTTAATGGCCGCTTGGTTAATCCTTGTCCTTTCCTCATTATTGAACAATGTCATTAATAACTGCTGGCAATCAGCCCATGTCGGGTTATGTGTCTGAACTATCGAGGTGAACAGATCGGTCATAGCTTGTGGTTTCTCAGTGTACGAGGAATTGTGGGTCTTCCAATTCAAGAGATCGTTAGTCGTGAACGGGACATATACGAAGACTGGGTCAGCATGTGCCATTTGACCTGCGGCATCGATATAGGCTGACCCAGGATTCAGACGAAGAGGCATCTGATAATGTTTTAATTGTTGGGTACCGGTCAGTTGTCGGGTTAGTATGGGGCTACATGGAGGGGCGTCAGTTAAAGGTTCCGGTCGAGAGGTAATAGGGCATGAGGATGTGGGAACTTGATTTTGGGAAAAGTTAGTGAATAGTATACTCCGAGCCGAGCTAGAAGAAGCTTGACCGGAAGTTTGAAGTGGCGCCAAATCAGGATATTCAAATCTAATGGGGGTTGGTCCTGGTTCCGGAAGGGGAGTTTTAATACGAGGGGGGGTGGATTCTGTACTGGAGGAGGAAGTGGAAGTGGATGGGGGCAATAGGGGAAGGGGTGCAGAGCTTCCTGCATTCGCGTCACTTCCTCTTAAAGGAAAGTAAGGAGGCTGCAAAGGGATCTCGGACTCAGGGGGCGTGTCCAAAATGGGCCTAACACCAGTCCTAGTGGACAAACAAGTCCTGGCCACCATGAGGCGACATTGCTCCTCGTGGCATATCCGGATCCATTTTAGCGAGTCGTTTACGGCCTGCCCCCAACAATCAATGTATGGAAACTGTCCGTAAAGTTCAGGCCTACCTGACACAGCCACGTGTACACGCTGTACCAGGGTTGGATCCAAACTGCCACGCGGCGGCCATGCTGCAACCAAAATAGGCCACTCCCTAGTGCACAAAGTGACCAAACGTACAGGAGACATTTTAACCCCAAAATCACATGTTTTGAATCCCTTTTTAAAATTCTTTACCATACAACCTAAGGGATCCCAAATCGTTGACTCTGACGCGCCCATACTTATCAATGGAACGTCGTTGACAACGAATACTATGCACGCGTTCTTATTCAACAGTCACACCCGTTTCCTCTGGCAACAGCACCACGCGGTACAGTTACCGAGTGAAACGTACACAATAACACAATAATCACTCAGGGAATTCCCGTACACACACAGCTGTTACACCAGTCACTAAATAATCAATATTATGCCCTTTGGCGAAACTATACAGTCACCCACGCTATAATTCTCTATATATGAATTACCCGCCTATAACACACCCCAGTAACATCGTCTTTTACTAGTATCGGTTACAGTACGGTTAGCATAGGTCAAAGCACAATTTAAGGTCACAATACAATTATTAGTGGTTAGGGTGTTAAACATGCAATAGACGACAATGATTAGTACTTATATACAGTGTCAGTAAATATACAGGGTTATGGTACCGTGCACTATGATACAGCAACACACTATTAACACACTCGCTAGACGGCTGAGCTCGCGCTATCTAACAAGATATACACTTTACTAACAATCTTTAACACATTTACAATCCCAACTAAACTATTGGCCAGTACCTTGAATGGACTACCTAAAACTATATACACTCGTTTTGGCTAGCCACACTGCCCAAACACCACATATAGCGAACTAGAGGGCGAAATTTACAAAATTGCCCTTCTAGTCTATTTACTCTATCAAAAGTCTAGTGGGTTCCAAATTTACACGCCTTCCCACTTAGCCAAGATAGGTTGAGAGCTAGCGAATCGAATTTACACAGGCGCCGCTTAGTCTCCCGGTCCCTCCGACCTAGCGAACGTAATATACACCCTAGAACGCTAGTCTAGACAAGACACCGGTGTCCGGCTAGGGCTATTTACACAGGACCCCGCCTGACTAACCAGATCAAACGGTCTTACTAAAGAGCGTTCGATCGAGCGGTGCGCCTTCGCTCCTTCCCTCCGACAGAGGGGGCAGATTCCATACACAGATTTAAACCCTTTTTGGGCCTACCGCACAATCGGTATACCCCTAGTGGGTCTGCCGTCTAAAACAGCAGTTGTCTTACCTCCTCGTTCCTGAACCTGAGTTCACACTCATCGACGGGGACACCCCAGCACTTCTTACATAGAGGCCGATGATCTCCTGGACAACAGACCAGTGGCGCCGAGACGAAGGGAGGTCCACGCAGAAGTTCAGGGGTGCAGCCGTAGAGAACGTGGGCAAAGATAGACCGTCTCACGCCTCTGCCTCTCAGCTACCGTTGAACGATGAGCTTCCCGGCCAATGCACCAAATGTTACCGGAGAAACTGACGGAAGCAAAGCACAGAGAGATGGACACAGGTTTCTTCAGGAAGGAAGAGATTCTTTATTGGATCACCGATCGGGACTCAGAGGGACTAATGTCACCAAAAATACAGCAAGTTCTGAGCCCTGAACAATAGTGCAGGCTCCTATATAGGCACATAACTCCTCCCATATTAAGCTCCACCCGCACATTCTCTTGACCAATCATTACAAATAAGAATTAACTTCCTGCTTGACCGCATGGCTTGTCCAGCACAATGGAGGAGGGGAATACTACATCCTGTATTCTTGCACATGTTCCGTACACTACTGATCGTATCTTGCCTCGTGCAACCAACTGATCGATACGTCAGCATATGCACGTACACATGCCACGTGGTAATCTCGGCCTACTAAATTTATTTTTACCGAGATTCCACCACACTTTAATAAGTCCACAGCGACAGTACGATTAGTGCATTTTACCCTGAAATAATACATTTCTGCTATTCCAGTATGTCTTAGCAGTCATGCTAACTAATAATGCAAACTCTATTTCATGAAGATGGGGCTGTCATGTTAGCTATGCTGAATCAAAATATGTGTTAAGAGTTAATAACTGATTAACTAACTTTATGTTCTGGCCTTGTTCTAGATTAATTTAGCTAATTGCTGGGGTCAAGTCCTGGAGAAAAGAGTGTGGGAACAACCCCAAGATCCACCCCGCAAAAAAAAATTATACACTTGTATGCATATATATTTCTTAGAAAATACAGTGCAACATTTATTGTAAAGTGCCAGTTTACAAAGACATCGCCAAAATTCACATGCAAAAATAATCTTTATATATGTATATTTTGCCACAATTGTCATGCCCCTATATAATTAGCCACTATATTCCGTTTTACTTTACCATTCCCCTATATTCTTAACAGAACAATATAGTCATCAAAACAACTTTAGCTTATAAAGAAGTTTGTGTACATAAATCATGCCCCTGCTTTCTCATTGCTAATTTATCTGCAATTTAGGAGTTAATTCAAGTTTGATTCTGTTCATGCACCTCCCCTGACTGTGACTGACATAGCCTGTATGAAAAAAAAGGGTTTCATTTTCAATCCAATGTTACCAACTTTAAAAGGGTTTATCTCCTGTAAATTTAACTTTAATCACATACAGGACGCTCCTGCAGGATCTAGCAAGCTATAAACCTAGATGATAAGAAACTCAAATTAAACAGAATTTGCAATAGAGGAAGTGTAAACATTAGATGACTATGTACAGGAAGTGTTTAGGAAGACAGTGTAAATCACATGCAGGGAGGTGTGACTAGGGCTGCATAAACAAAGTGATTGAACTCCTAAATGGCAGGGAATTGAGCATGAGCTGTACACCAAAACTGCTTCATTAAGCTAAAGTTGTTTGGGTGACTATAGTGTCCCTTTAACCCCTTAAGGACCGAGCCAAATGTACACGTTGTGATCCAAACAAAACCTGGAATTTGCGCTATATGTCTGTTCAGGCATAATTCGCCTCTTTCATATTAAGTGCACCCACACTATAATATATAATTTTATTCAGGGGCTTTCATTTAACATAAAATATTTTGCTATGAAACATAATTTAATTTAAATAATATATAAAAAAATGGGAGTGAATAAGAAATTTTGTTATTTTTCTTTAGTTCTACATGACATTTTATCTGTGAATGTCAATACTGTTTGCTTTTACTGCAATAAAATACACATATTTGTATTCAGTGATGTCCCACGTGTAAAACAGTACCCCCTATGTACATGTTTTATGGTGTTTTGGGAAGTTACAGGGTCAAATATAGCATGTTAAATTTTTCAGTTTTTTCCCATTGAAATTCGCCAGATTGGTTACGTAGCCTTTGAGACCATATGGTAGCCCAGGAATGAGAATTACCCCCATGATAGCATACCATTTGCAATAGTAGATACCCCATTTGCAATACCTTGGGTTATGTCCTGTCTTTTTTAATAGCCACTTGGTCACACACACTGGCCAAAGTTAGTGTTAATATTTGTATGTGTGTGAAAAATGCAAAAAAAAACAAAAAACTAATTTGAACGCCAGTCTAGGCACTCCCTCTGCTGGCAATGCTGTGGACGGCTATTCCGTCCATGTGACTGAGGTCCTCGCAAGGACCTCGCGATCACATAGCCCAGGAGGGCAGGAACGGCAGCAGGGGGACTCCATGGGATGCCAGGTAAGTTCCCCCACCAGTGGGTAAGTACATAGAATGGCAGGGACGTGCTATACTGACCGCCGGCTTTTAGAGCTGGGACCCCAAGGACGGCATAACACGCCCGCCGTCCTTAAGGGGTTAAAACAGGGAGAATGAATTGAGGCCTAAACCAAGAATCAGGATACCATTCCATGTTATGATGATAGGGAGGAGGAAGGGCAATCTCCTGCAATTAGAGATGGGCATGCACTAATCTCAAGGAATATTTATGTTAATTTCAGTATCTTCTAATCTTTTAACTCAGCTATCCGAAAGACCACAGTTGCGGATCTTTATATTATGAAAGTTTGAGAATTACATTGTAATGTAAGCTGTAATTTTATTGCTTGCCAATCTATTTTATGAGGTCATATTCAGTTTTTTTGCAATATTAAATTTTACACTAAAAAGAGACAAGCAAGAAGCTAAGTCAGGCAATCTAATA